CCCCCCCCCCGATCCCGATCTCGCGCCCACAATACCGAGCCTATTTTCATATCGTTAATGAAACTTCTCTCTGTTTGTTTTTTTCTTTCTTCCTTGACTCCCTTTCTCCTCTCTATCATAGGCCCCGCCACCGCCGCCGCCGCAGCAGCAGCAATGCGCACCGACATCCGGGCGGCGCATACAGTATCCCACGCCTGACGCCACGCCCGACGTTTCGCCAACGGTGCGTCTCCCTCTTCCTCTATCCTTAACCCCTCTCCCTCTCCCTCTGGGGGGGTGGGATCACTGGGTAGTCCGCGGAGGAGGAAAAAGCTAACGTTTTTCTTTTCTTTCTTTCAAGGCGTCCCCCAAAACCCGGCACCACGACCTCTACTCCGACCGCTGCGCCGACTCCGACTCTGAAAACCGTGCCTCCTCTTCCTCTTCCTCAAGCGCGGCGGCGCCTTCTTCGCCCGGTGGTTCCGGTGCTCCTCCTTCGGGAAACAACGACCCTGCCGCAGCAGCGATCGAGACGCTGCGGACGCAGCTCTGGTCGTCGGGCACGCAGGACGACTTTCAGGACTCGTTCGCGGTGAACGTCACCGCGCCGTATTACGCCTCCGTCGCCTTCCTCGGGTTGCTGCACGCCGGGAACGGAAGCGAGTGGGCGCGCCGGACGGGCGTGTCGAGCCAGGTTCGTTTTTTTTTTTTTTTTCTTTTCTTTCTTTTTTCGTTTCGTTTCGTTTCTCTCTCCCCGTCCCCCGCTTCTTCGTCTTTTTCGTTCTTGCTCTCTCTGGTCACTCCTGGACCCTTTGTTCTTTCTTTCTTTCTTTTTTCGTCCGTGTTTCAGCTTTTCAAGTCGTGTGTTGCGGGTGTCGGAGTCCGGGTTCTATCCGCTGCGGCCTGGGCCCGTTTCGTTCTTACTTTCTCCGTCCTCGTGGCGCTGGTGGGCACGACGACGCCTCGTGTTTGTCTTGTTTGTTTGCTCGTTTCTTAATCTGCGATGTGCCGCCGCCGCCGCCGCCACGCGGTTCTTTCCTGTATCTGGCTCTACCTTCTTTTTTCCCATTCGCCGCCGCCACAGCCACCGGCACCCTACTCGGTTTCCCCCCCTCCCCCCCTTGCTCTTCCCAGAACGTTGTCCGCTTCTGTTCGAAAAAGACATAACGAAACACACACACACACACACCGTAATACTCTTTGATTCCTTTCTCCTTCCCTCCTTTCTCTTTCTTTCTTCTTTTTTCCTCCGCGTTTACACCCTTGAGGTCGTTCTCTCCAAAAAGTCACGTCCGCGCGCTCACGCTCACACACACCCCCGTTTTTTCTCATCCATCGCAGGTCATCACCGTCTCTTCGGGCGGCGGCTTCCGCCGGGACGCGCGCGTCTTCTCGCTCTCGTACACGCTCTCGAAGGCGGCCGCGATCCATCTCGGGAAGCTGCTCGCGAACGTCCTCGCCGGCTGGGGCATCCGGAGCAACGTCGTCTGCCCGGGCGTATACCCAAGCGGTTCGTGCCAGCCTCCTCCTTCCCTTCCCCTTACTTTTGATTTTTTTATTCTCATTCCGAGCGTTTCGTTTATTATTTTTTGCAGAGATGACGGCGTTTATGACGCCGGCGCAGGTGGCGGCCGGGTGCCCGATGGGCCGCGCGGGCGATCTGCAGGATATGGCCGGATTGGTGCTGTTCATGGCCGGCCGCGCGGGCGCGTACGTGAACGGGAGCGTGCAGCTCACCGACGGCGGACGGCTGGGTATGTTCAGCGCGACATATTGAAAACGCACGCGAAGAAGACGAAGAAGACGAGATGAAAAGAGGGTTTTGAGAGAAGACAAAAAGAAAGCATGGAGGACCCGTTCCCTCCTTCCTCCCCTCCCCTCCCCCCCCTCCCCCGGGAACCCCCCCCCTCCCCCGGGAACGCAGCTGGCTGTCCGAAATCGGGAGGGCTGCGGGGTGTAACGTATTTTTTTGTGAAACGGGGGAAATGTATTGGCGTTTAGACAGAGACGAGTTGTACGTGGGTTAGAATTGTTATACGTGTTTTTCTTTAGAGCGATGCTACCAAGTTATCCTTGCGTTTTGCGCTTTGCTCGCTCGTCCTTCGAGCTCGGTGCAGATTGAGCTCAGTATGTGAGAACGGGAGCCGACCGGCGCACGCGGCGCGGGTCCCCAATCAAACGCTGGTTTGAATGCACTTCATCGCTATGCACAGTCTTCTCTCCCTGTATCAATCGAGAGCCTCTGATCCACGAGTTCGCGAAACAAGGGCCCCGCAGAAATTGGTCATGGATGGGACATAAAGCTGGGGAGAAGCGGACATTAAACAAAGCCCACTCGGTATCGAAGCACATAATCCGCCGATGTCGATGACCACCTCCAGTCATGAGCTCGTCGACACCCTGCAGTTGAACCCGCTGCTCGAGTTCGGCGGCACGGAAGCGTTCTGGGACTACGCGGCGGAGGCGTCGTATCCCTCGGCTGCCGCGCAGGCGGAGGCGGCGGAGAGCCCCATGACGGGCCTCCTTACCGCGATGGATCTGTTGGGTCCCGAGACGATCTCCGAACGGAAGATCAAGCTGCTCGACGTCGCGTGCGGTTCGGGCATCGTCCCGCTCTTGCTTGCGAGGCGGTACGACTTGAAGGAGCCGAAGGAAGAGGTCGAGGTGGTCGCGACGGATTTCTCGGCGAGCATGGTGCGGAGGGCCGCGAAGGAGATGGAGGATGGCGGGTGGAAGGGCGTCAAGGTGGAGAAGATGGATGCGCAGGTGAGGCACGACTACTGGGAGATCGACCACGCAGCCGAACTCGATACTGACGCTCTTCGTCTGGAACAGAATCTGACTTATCCCGATGACCACTGGACGCACGTTACGTGCTCTTTCGGGGCGTACGTGTCAATACGCTGCTTATAGGGCTAAGGAGGCAGCTGCATTGACCATATGTGTCATTGATTAGGATGATGATGCCGGAGCCGGACCGCTTCTTCGAGGGCGCGCACCGCACCCTCCTCCCTGGCGGCCAGCTCGGGTTCACCGTCTGGAAGGCGATCGGCTGGGCCCCCCTCATCCCTGCCGCCGTCAAACGCGCGAGACCGTCGGATCCCTTGAGCCACTCTCCTTTCGCGGCGTGGGCGCACGGGTGGGAGCGCGCCGAGTTTGTCCAAACCTTGCTCGCGCGGCACGGGTTCGTGGACGTTCATATGAAAGAGATGGGCGCTACGCTGCAGTTGCCGAGCTTGGAGTTTCTGAGGACGAAGGTTCTGGGACGGATCTCGGACGAACTCAGGAAGGACTGGAGCGAGGAGGAGAAGGCGAAGTGGGCAGATGCGGTGGACGAGGCGGCGAGGGAGAAGGGCGCAGTCGGAGAGGACGGCGGAGTGATGCTGCAGCAGGTGGCTTGATTCGTTACCGCAAGGAAGGGCGTAGCGTGAGCTCTCGTCTTGAGAGTCGTCGCTTGGGAGCATTACGCCTACATCTCGACCCAACATCAGAGTGACATGATGTCGCATAACGGAATCATGTAATTCACTGTGTCGGACGACTACTTAGGTACTCTCCATGTACAACATCTTCCTTGAAGATCTGCGCGTCGCAGGCTAATAACAACTTTGAAACTTATGGTCTGTCAATGTTCGCTGATAAGACGGTAAGAAATAATAAACACGGTTACAGCGATTAACAGGCTTACCACAAGTTGAAGGGATGGTTGAACCGTCCGCCATCGACCACCTCGATAAACTGGGTGCGCTCATCCATTAGTTCCTCTCGGATCTGCGCAGCGCTCTCCGAAGATATCGCATGGGAGTGGTCCAGAATGATGTCGATGACCTCTACGGGCAACTTGCTCCACAACGACCTCGGGTCCGCCGTAGCCTCTGCGATGGCGCGATGAATCCAGTCCTTCCTTTGAAGGGGAATCGTAGAGGCACTCGGAACCGTCACCGTGGGGTCAACGAGGAAAAACACCAGGATCTTGCGGTGACCAGGCTTAGATTTGTCAATCAGCTCGAAGTTACCAACACGGTGCTGGTAGATGTTTGGAAATGCAATGGCGCGCCCTTCTTTAGTTGGAATTTCACCGATTTCCTGAGAGCAGGCTTCGAACCTGTGTGCCATGTGAGCTCAGAAGATGACGACCATGTGAGAGGATACGTGCTGTCCATAGTTGTACAATATGTGCATACATTCGGAGTCACTCTGCTGGTGATATTCCGGTTCAGATGTCGCGTTTCTGAAGGCAAGACTGGATTGTGTGATATTCTCGCAATCGTAGTACTTTCAAGTGAGCCTGAGCTAGGCGTCCACATCCACGTTCATCGTTAAAGGTGAGACTTACGTAAATGAAGGAAGCGACTATGCTTTCGTTCTTCATGCCTATGGGGTCACGAACGTCAGTTCGGATCCCCGAGAGGGAAATTGGTGCGTCAAAACTCGCCTTCGACGTGCCAGCTTCCTCCCTCATATACAGGTTGTTCCGGGGTCAATACGATGTTCGCAAGTTTGACGATGACCTGGAACCCCTTCCAGGTGCTTAGTCGTTCAGTGACCTTCACGTCGTTGAGACCGCCATTGTATTCCGGCGATGCGTCGGGCAGGTTGATATCATACTCGGGGAGCAGCGGCCAATCCTCATCTTGAACGTCCTCAGGCATCTCCGGGATCTGCTCAAATGATGATGACTCGTTGATAACAACGATGTTGAGAAGTAGAAGAAGACTCACATCATCGTCTTCCCAGATGCAGTCCGGACCATCATGTCCGCCGACTCTGAATGGCAACTCATTTTCCCTTCGTAAATCCGATAGCACGCGATCGAACATGGGCACAGCTCTCTCAAGCAGCCTCGGGATGACATCGTAGAGCTTGCGGTGGTCTGACATGTGGATGTTGTTCACGTAGGGCGAGATCAGCTCCACGGTCTTCTTGTCCGCCTTGAACGCGAAGTCGGACGGCAGCCATTGGAACTGGTCGGAACAGAATTCGTCGCCTTCTTCGGAGAGCTCTGATGCGGGAGCAGCGACCACGTTTCCGGAGGCGTCGACCGTCGTACCGTAAACGACGGGATACAGGGATGGATGGACAAGGTCGAGAACTTGACCGTTCGAACGAGGATGCCAATCCTTCTGGTTGTCGGGGACATTCTCCAGCGGAGCAATCGCGTCCGACAGTTCATTCCGAAGATGCTCCGGAATCAACTCGTCTGACTTCCAGATGCGATCGTAAGGACCCGGCTGCGATAGAAGTCAATACGTGCCGCATTGGAGCACCGAGCACGAACCTCTATCCCTGTTTCGGGGTCCCTCAGTGATGCGTATGCAGCCAATTCACCCATTACATAGTCGATCTGTGAAGAAGGGTCAGCATCAGATGAACATGAAGGAAAGGGCCGAGATACCATGTTCGATGTGAGGACTAGGTTCCTCGGCAGACCCTCCTGCTGCGTGACGATCTCTTCTCTCCACTTCTGCTGGATGCTCGGGTCCTTGAACTTCTCGTACCATCGTGGTTTCTCGCGGAGACTCGCGGATAGGCTGCATATACGCAGTTCGACAAGCGTCCTGGGTCGATCCCTCCAAGCGATAGTGTCTACGCTTCCCCAAGATCCATCGTCGTTGGACGTGAACGGGTGGGGGAAGCGGTCGCCGAACTCGGTCAAACCACTCTTGAGTGGTGTCGGTGTCTGAGGGCTCGGGACTGGGTCATTACCGGACATCGGAAGATATTGGCAGGGTGGTTGTTATAATCCAACGATATTCGCGAGCGTCGTATCGGTTAAATGACCTTGCTTGCTGGTGATTGCTGTTAGGGACCTAGACGCAGTTGTGGAAGCAGGTCAACTGGTACGGGGTATTTATACCGGCACCGCACATATAAAGAGCACACTGCGAGTCAAGCAAGCAGTATACCCGTGATGTAAATGCCTTGGCGTGAAATGACTTCGATACTGAAGGCGAGGGAATCGCCTTTGGAACTCTACGTGGCGAGTCATTGAGATCTCGCGCGATTGTTCCAAAGCATATAGCTTTCCCTCGTTTCTTGTAATCGCGAGGAGGTGCAAAGTGTACATCGTTGTTGCTGCAGTGACTCAGGAGGCAAAAGATGCCCGTGTGGGACTCGACATTGGCGACAAACACATGACTACTTACAGTCGAACACCTCATAATGCATAGCCACATAATGCATAATTCTCATGATGCATAGGGTTTGGGCTCGGAACCACCGTGGTTTGCGGGGAGCTAGGGAGATACTGCATAAACGCATAATGGCATAGCAGTCAGGCTAAATTTATGCAGTTCCAGAGAGCAGATGTGGGAATAAATAACTATATATGGAGGATAACTATGCATAATTCCCACAAAAGGACCCAAAATTATGTGTGACTAAGCAGATTTCTCACGTATTTCCGCCAAAGCTACTCTTGATTTTTGTGTTTCGTCGACATCGTCATAGTATTCTCAGAGCCATGATAATAATTCGTACGTTCACTCAAGGTATAGTGCACACGGAATCAGTTTCTGTTCGTCAAAGCGTCCATGAACACCCGATTCGCACCGCCTTCAAGTGCAAAACGGTGTGTCAGTAGGAATCCCCATATACTGAGTCAACGCCCTGTGTCAGCTACCCTGTAAACGCAATAAATACGATGACTAACCGTGACGTGGTCCGTACAATTCAACGACGTCAGAGGAACGGAGTCTTGACATGTCGGATCTTCTCCACCGGCAGCGCAGTGCACGAAATTGCCGGGTGATGACGGATCCGTGAGTTGCCAGTATTCAGTCCCGTGGTGTTGGTAGCCAATAGCTTCGACTATCAGTTGGGGTACACTGAGATTGGCATGAGATAGAAGAACATGGTCTTAGCATCGCCAACGACTCACCAATCGTCTCTGTGCACAACTTGCAGTAGCGCAGGAGTTGATCAATGGTCCGTTCACTGATCGTAACTTCTTCGCGTACCTCTGAACGAGTTGTCTGCAAAGTTGTCGTTGACCCATGTCGCGTAGACGGCGTTTCCAGTGCGCGGTTGACCGTACGTATAGAGCCGCATCGGGCTGGAAGAGATAGAGGTTATGATGACATATCAGGGGATAGGACTCTGTGATGCCACGGACCGGTCGGGAAAACTAGCTTTGAGAGAGACCGCGGCGATTGAAGCAATTGCCCCTCCAAGCGAGTGACCAAGTGGTACGATGGCGTAGTCCGGGTACTCTGTAGCGACTGCGGTAACATTTGCCAATAGCTCGGTCGCAACCGCTTTGTAGCTGTCGTGCATCCGATCATTTGGTCGAGCACGCGCCATAACGGCTTGATCACTCACGCCGTCAAGAATCCAGTGTGAACGAGTGTGCCGACTGTGAGGCATGGTTGAGTTCGTGCAACACGTGCATTTTCAGGCAGAAAGCCCGGAACTTACATGGGGCGGTGACGTTGGCGATGTCGTAAGGAATGAGAACGAGCTCTACATCCGAGATATAGTTCTGAATAGTGGTTCTGGCATTTTCAACGTCAGATCACTTCAGAAGAAATGGCGAAGATGGACGTACGATCCGCGGAAGGAGATGACGATCTCTTTCCGGTTGTCATCCCGTGCGATGAAGCCTTCCGAATCGATGAGCGGGTTGCTCACAAACTGAGGAGTTATTCGTACAGCAATCAAGGCATGGTATGATCTGCACATACCTCCGTGATTAACACGTTTCCGTTCGGCTTCGCGCAGTTGCTGATCGCCGTCGAATCAGCGTACTGCCAGTACCACAGGAGATCGTCATAGACGTCTGTAGGAGCGAAGCAGAGGTCATCGTCACCTCTTTACACTTTACAAACTGCACCCACATACCCTGCGATATAGCCCGCTTACTGAGCACGTACGGAGTCGCAGCGCCCGACGCAGACAGAACAGCACAAGACGCCGCTACCAGCAATCCGACAAGAGAGCGCGCCATGTCTCCACGGGATGGGCAGCGGACTCATTGTCCTATGTCGCCCTAGGTCTCTTTTATATCTCCGCCGCTGGCAGCTGCCATCGGCTAATTTTCCTTCATCGGTTCTCTGAAAACAGCGAGTTCTTCCGTCATAAACAGGATGACCCGTGAGTCGGAGACAAGGGATGGTCGTGAGAAGTTTGCGGAACTGACCGACCGGGTAGGACCGGACGACCGATAGCCGGACTCTCTCGCGAACGTCGTCCGAGTCCATCGGTATGACTTGGTCTGCAGCACCAAGTCGATGATACAGATGCTGCTACATCGCGCCCTTCTGCTCGGTACAATCATTTTGACTTCGGTGCTTTGCGTCTCGTCAGACTTTGCAACCCACTCGAATGTCAACGTGAGGCCATCTTCGTTCGACCCAAGATTGTACCCCAAGAGCACCGCAGAGTGTAACGCACTGAACCGGGCTCGCGGCGAGAACGTGGTCATTCAGCTCCGTAGGTTGACTTCAATGCACTAGCGGTCACGTTCACGCTGGCTAAGGATCGAGCTGGCAAAGACTACGTCGATGTGAATCCCCGAGCGAAGCGTACCATTCTTATGGTGCATGGATGGCCGAGTCTCTGGAGTACGTAGTCACAGCAAATACAAGAGTTCGAGGTGTGTCGCGTGCATGCTTTGCAGTCTGCAGAGTCTAGATACTAACCGCTGGCAGGGTAGCGTGATTATAGGTTGATCGTACCTGACCTGAGAGGATTCGGAGCCTCGACTCATCCAGGCGACGTTGAGAGTAGCGGCACCATGGGTGATATGGTTGGTGATTTGGTATGCGTGTTGGGGACAGCAGGCGTGCCGCCAGGAGACGTAGTCTGTCTTGGGTATGCACGCTCATCAGTTACTGGTCTTCTGGGATAACTCTGATGTACGCACAAAGGCACGATTGGGGCTCGCAAATATGTTACGAGGCAGCGAGAATGAGACCGGACATCTTCGACTCCGTCATCGGCATCGCATTACCGGTATGTCTCGGCATTTTCTCCATGCATATACGCTGTGCGCGGATCAGGCGTTAACCGGTACGAACATTCTACAGTATATCAACTACGATCACCCGTTCTCGCCGTCTACCTTTGGCGCTCGTCTCATGCACCGCATCAGGACCTTCCTCCTACCATTCATTACATCCATCTCTTACCAAACATTCTTCGCGGACAATACGCACCAAGCGGCGGAGGAACTAGGAACAAACGTCAGGAGAACGCTCACGGCGGCTTTCCGCACGGCGAAGTGCGCTGTTCCGAAGATGTTTCTACGGGATGTGGCAACTTTCATGGGATCTTGGAATGGCCTCGAAGTGAGACACTACTAGGGGTACTCAAGAGGACGTAGTGTTGACTGGTAGCTGTCTCATCTGGTAGATACCATCGATACCCTTCTTTTCCGAAGCGGAGGAGGAGTATGTTGTCGAACAATATCAGATTCAAGGCTTCGCACACAGTATGTCGCGTTCGCCATGACAACCCTGAAATACGCTCATCCTGTGAATTGCGGTCAGCTCTACAGTTTTACACTCACGGAGTGAGCTCTTCTTTGGTCACACATCCGCGCTTAATGAAACCTGTATAGAACCGCCGTGGCTCATGGGAGCTCGCCCAGGAGCAAGGGAACTTTACTGTCCCGCAGCTCGCGTTGTCGGTATTACCCACTAATGCAAGTACACACTCCAGGACTTCGCGTATTTGAATCGCTCAAAGCTTGATACAACAGGATCCGGTGGCCAACTGGAGGATTGCAGAGTTCTTCATGCAATCGAAGAAGTACGTGCCGAATCTCCATACACAGGTGAGAATACCATCATCAGACTACGAAGTCGGTGGACATGACTTGCTGATGGACTCCTTCCTAGTTTGTACCCGGCGCGCACTGGCCGCATCTGGAGCATCCACACGAGATTAATAAACTCATCAAGACGTGGCTAGACCAGTCATTCGGCGCAGCGCGTACGAGTGCCGCGGTCCGTGATGAAATGTAGCCTTAACGTGTCCTGTGCTTGCCTGCAGCCGTATCTTGATGGTCAATGTTCTATCCCCGTAAGATATCCTAGGTTTCGGGTTGCTCGGATCCTTCAATTCTTGCATTCTCGATCGCCTCGCGGCGCTGTTCAGGCAGTACCTGACTCAGGACGTGATGTAGTGGTGTGCTTTGAGCGGGAGGCCTGACGCATTCGGAGCGGCGCCGATCGCAGGCCCGTGACGTATTCCCACGCCCTACCTTACTCGCTTTCCTCCGTCGCCGTCAGAGGCGTCCTCGGGCGGTTGATGCTCGCCGCGCGCGACATCGAACAACTCCCATTATTACCTCCCCTTTCTTTCTCTCTGACATTACCTCTAGAATCCTTCAGGACTGACGACGACAACAATGGCGCTGACAGCGACCGCACAATCGGCGCTGCCCTCATGGGACGAGAGCATCGTCCCCAGTCTCCGGAAGAGTATGTTGCGTCCCGCTCGTCGCATTCGTCAACGGCATAAATAAGATGCTGATTATACTTTACAAAGGACTGGAGAACGAGAGCCGCATATTGTCCAAGCGGATATCGAACACCTCTATGAGCGACGAGGATGCATACAATCTCAGGACCGCCCACCGCCCGACCACCGCAGCATCGGCCGCCACCGCAAATACCTACAGGAGCGCTCAAGACGAGTCTTACACGTCCGCAACTAGTTCCCGATCACCTAGGGCCCCTGGCGCCGCCGTCGGAACAGCGTCGACACCGTCGCGTGCTAAGCGCAGCCGTACATACTCCCAGCCGTGGTCTCCCGACGCTGGGAGCGGCTCACGTTCAAACTCCCCTATGGTCGACCGCAACGCGGACTATATCAAGCCCAGCCGCATACCGGTCGCTCGCGCGCGCACGAACAGCGTGACCAGCCATAATGCGACGAACGCCGCGGGCTCCCCTGGCAGCTACCCTCACGCGAACGGGTATTCCGCGAACAAGGACGACCTATGGGCCGTTCAAGAGACCCACGCCGACGCCAAACCCTCACCGCAGATGATCTCCGTACCCCTCCGTCACCAGAACTCGCGCATCATCAATGAGCAGGCGCCTTTCCCCGCGGACTCCGTCGGCTCCTCATTTCGATCTAAGTATGACTACAATACGTCGTACACGCCGTCTCCGCAGGCGTACGATGAGGACGGCACGCCTCTGGGTCGTATGTCTAACGAGTCGGAGGAGCGGCCCTTCGAGCATTGGTATCGCGGGGACACGTCTCGTAATGGAGGCGTGGGTGAGCTGCGCGTCGGGAAGAGGAAGGAGATGCTCGAGATTGCGCAACATGGGCACTCGCTCCGGAGCAAGCAGTTCGGGCCGAGCGGTCCTGGCAGCCGCGCCACTTCCCGCGCGGATGTCAGGTCGGTGGTGGGGTCCAGGAGGAGGGCGGATAGCCTCGGTGCCAGGGAGAGTTTCTACCTCGACGAGCAGGCAGAGGAAGACTTGGCGAGGGTGTTGGACGAGCGGCCGCTGACGGACGCGGAGAGGGACACGGAGGGCGAGGGGGAACAAGACGTGGAGATGGACCTTCCCTCCGAGGACGATACTACCAGGATAGGGAAGGAGCAGCTGAGAGCGGAGACGCCGAGGGCTGGAGCGCGTAGTGTGACGCCCACTAACCACCGCCCTAAGGTTGGCCGCACGACCACTGCACCTGCCGCCCAGAGCTCCCGTGCCCGCTCTGAGCCCCCATTTGCGTCAACCTCCAAGGCGTCACCCTCCTCCAGTCGCTCACCAAATGCTCCGGCGCCGCAGCAACGCTCGCGTTCACAACAGCGCCTTCTGCAAACCCCGCCTACTACACCAGCTTCCAAGCGCCGCGTATCACCTGCTTCTGCCAAGAGCTCGCCGAACGCCTCTGGGAAGAAACCGAAGACCGTCGCTCAACGCCGCGTCCCGCAGTCATCGCTCAATGAAGATAACCGTCGGTCGATCGGTTCTTATCCCGATGTGGAGGACTCGTTGGACGGGGAGACCAGCCTCGCGGACGCCATTCCGAAGTGGACGCAGCCGAAGGTGGCGAATGGAAACTGGGACGACGTCGTACTGCCCGCCGTGGCGAAGAAGAAGGGCTTGGAGGAGCAGTACGAAGAGGCCGATGGGAGCCCGAAGGTTGTTCAGAAGAGGGCCAGCTACGAGTATGAACCGGTGAGTCGTCGTTACATGCAAAACCCTTCGAGCCCCGTAACACATTCAATATTGTTCATGATGGGTTGACTGACACATACGACCGCAGGCGCCTGGAACATTCGGGTATGACTATTCGAAATACCGCCCCCCACGGACCGATGGTCTGTCAGGGAACATGGACGAGTTTGGCCAAATGCCTCGCCTGGACGACCAAACACACCCCGATATCGATCCCCCGCCAACTGGGGAAGAGCCACCTGCCGGCAAGCAACGACTTAGACCCGATCCTCTACACCTCGACCAGCAGACCCCGATCCGGTTCAATGGTACACCTAGTCCACGGACGGCATCGCCAGCCCCCTTCTCGCATTATAGCAGGGACGGGCACGGGACGCCAATTCCAGGGGCTGGTATACAGCCGCAACAGCAGATGGACGAAAAACGGAGACAGCCGGCGCAATTGCAATTGGAGGAGCCCGAACACGGCGGCGGCTGTTGCAAATGCGTTGTGATGTGATCTCTGGATCAATTTTAGCCTGGTTTCGACGCCAGGTATAGATTCGTCAACCTTCATGGCTTAACGTCACTCGGATGGACTATTGTTGTATCGCGGATATTGGTGGCTCTTTGTATAGCCCGCTTTCGCTGTCTTTCCTCGGCGCCTCGCCATCGTCGCTCCTTTTCCTGCTTCCTTGAGTTCCAACAGGTGTTCCTCCTTATCACGGTTCCGGCACATTCACGACGTCACCCCGCAGTCCGGCCTCTTCTCCCCCGTGTACCATATTGCACTACAATTCCGCGACTCGTTCACCATCCCCTTTTGGGGACCCCACGCTCCCTTCACCGCCGCCATCGCCTAATTGCCTCCCTCGTCCGTTCGCGTACCTCTCTTCCTCGACAATCCGTCCTCGCCGTTCTGGTCTCCTCTCTACTGTCTTCATGATATTTCCTTCGATCATCGGGATTAGCCATACCATAAAGTAGATTCTAGTCAATTGTCTCAAAGCCACAATGTTTTCCTCGACCCAAAATTCGCGAACGGTGACCGAAGCGGGCGGATCAAATCAGGTATTAGGGTTCCGTCCGAGGCAGACTTTGACAGCTTGCCTCCGTATACTCGATAGGATACGTTGAACGGACTTCGCTCCTATGAGAATGATCGGGGATTGTGAATCGAGAATCAGCCCGTACCGCATCCCCGCGCATTAGTGAGGTCACCTATATCATATACAAGTCAATTTCCGTGACTCTGATTATCCCCGCCGCATCTTGGGGACTGCGCCGCTGTCATCGCCTAACAATCATTCATTTCTGAACCTCTTTCTCATCATTTTGTTCTCACCTTCTCTTTCTCTAATTTCTCTGATCTCAGTCCTCGTAAGTGTTTTCTCTCGCTCAAACAGTGTCAACGCACCAAAGAGTCGATCTAGACAGTCGTTGCAACGCTGCGATCTTCCACCACCGGATTACGTGAATCGCCGTCAATGCGGGCGGATCAAGTGGAATACAATCAACAACTCTTACAAACGACGTGCAGCATGGCGCGGGGTGCTGGTCCCTAAACCTTGAGCTTGTGCAATGAGGCTTGACTTCTCTCCGACCGCGAGTTCTCCACTCGGATTATATATTCGTCCTTCCGCACTTGCGGTTTTCATCCCGCACTCACCCTGCCGTCGACCAGCCATGATATCCCACCTCATTCCCCAACCGGCGTTGAAGAAGAAATCCCAGGATACCCTGATCAAGAGGATGGGCCGTGAAGGTACACCGTTTGCCGACAAGTTCGAGCGCGTAACAGTGAGCAGGACTGTGTCAGCCTGCACATGTGCTCACTCCCGTTCTAGTACGATATGCGCAAACTTGTCCAGGAGCGCCTGCAACCAGGGGAGGTGCTGTGCGAGCAGGCGCCGGTCGCTGTTGCCGATGTGATCGAGAAGGTAAATGTGTCGAACTATTGCGTGGGGTATGACATTACATTTCAACGCAACGCCATTGCCTATAGATATGTAATAAATATCCAATCTTCCGTCAGTATGAAAACGCATGGCCAGTCACGGAGTATCTCGATCGATACTGTTACGTTAACCGACACCGTGCCGATTGGCCTAGAGCAATGCTACAGTCCTCCAAGTTGAGGAGCCGCCGGTGGCACTCACCGCCAAGTCATCGACAGGGAAACGGCGCGATCGTCTGGCCGGCCTATGAGGAGCAGGATGAAGACTTGATTGACCTCTCGCGCGATTCTGAGGACATCGAAGAATTGTACATTGTGGAAACGAATGATTCTGCGCACTTATCTAACACGGTATGTGTTGTGTAACTATACTTTCAGTGCGTACGCCGTTGGCTGATTTGTCTTGAAGACGTCCGCATCTGCCTTTCGAGCATCGGGCGTGCATTCGCCTTTATCTGTGTCGATGCACCAACACATTCAGCCCTATCAAAAACCTCCACCGCCCGCTACTCATGGCACACATGTGAGTTCCTTTAGTTCACCTGTAGCATGATACATTACTGAATGGGGCCACATCGGAGCAGCGCACGGTTGGCCCCTCTTCATCGGACGATCACATGCATCCGCCCGCGGCAATCCTCACAGGTCGCCCGTATTTCGTTGGGTGTCCACCCTCCTGCGTACCGAGTACATCAGCTTCGCAGCCGGAGACGTCGCAGAATACACAGAACGACGAGGTAGATCCACTACACGCGTTGCTCTCCAGCCAGAGAAGATCGCTGTCTCATCTACGACCTGTACTTCAAGAACTCGGCGTAATAGATCAGGTTCGTCTCGGCATCCCTGTGCCAGAGCTCCAAAGTCGCGAGCTCACGGACTGGAAAGGAGGCTATCGAGTGTCTGTATGACTTGGGCGATGAACAGCGCGATGCGTGGTTGGACACCGAGATGAAGGGGGCCCGAATTGGCGCCACCGGTGCTGCCGTTACGGCTCTCGACTTATTGTGCCTTAAAAGAGCTTTCGCCCAGGGCCAGAAGATGTCGAACGACTCGAAAGGCAAGTCCAAGGGGAAGGAGAATATCGCGTAAAAAGCGGCGTAATGCTGAGGTCCTTCCCCTTCCATAATCAGCGATGTGATGAGTCCGTAATGTAGTTGTATTGTCATGGATCGTCCATATGGTAGTGCAGATTCCAGAAAGCTGCTCAGTGAAGAGAGCGAACAAGCGGTGATTCACGCTCACGCAGGCTCACGCCAGTGGTAAACGCGATCACATGATGTGTGAACGCGTTCGCCCCGTGGTTGTTGCGTCGTTATCGCTCTGCTTCCGCGATCACGATTCAACAAAAGCTTATTGGCATTCTGGGCAAGCGGCTCTCACACCATGAAAAGCCTAATCACTCCGCCTTGTCGCCTGCGCTCAATCCTGCAGCCCAGGGGCCTTCATGACTTCGCAAAATCTCATACCGTGGGCTCCTGCAAGAAGGAGAGACGGAACCACTGTCAGACTTCAAGAGCGGATGGGATTGGAAGGAGGAGCGATGCTCAAGGACTGGGATGTGATGACTGTGCGATTCCCAAAGACCGTCTCCCTTTCGGTAGTAAACTAAATACATATCGTAGTGCGATATGCGATTCGCAGCGCAGGTATATCTGCTTCCTGATATGCATCTATACCAGCAGGATCCGGCTGCGGTAAACGCATGTTTGGAAGAGGTGATTGGATATTCCGAGTCGTGTCGTACTTGATCTGTGAACACTCACGTTACACGGCTCTCTTCCCGTAGGTCTGCAACAAGCATCCCATCTTCCGCGCGTACGAAAACTTGTGGCCCGTCAGGGAATACATCGCTGATTATGCGGCGCACTGCATCTGCTGCGGTCGTGTTGCGAAGCACAAGAACCAGCAAGGTGTATGTCCTCACGGCAACGACGACGACGGAGCACCGAAAGGCGACAGTAGCACGGGAGGCGTCGGGCAGATTGTGGCATCGGCGGCGGAACATCAAGAAAGAATTGAAGATCTGCCCATCCAGTCACAACTCAAGGTTGATGGAGACACGGCGGACCAAAGCAACGCAACGGGCATGGGGCGATTGGTACACAACCGATCCGCGGCACACGAGGTGGTACCTCAAGAAGTGGACGCGGACCTCCTCGTCGAAGATGCCCCTGTAGTGAAACAAGAAGAAGCCGCCGAGCCTCTTCTCCTCCTGCACGGTTATAACAGCGATGTGATTAATCTCGTCTCGGACAGCGACGAGGAGCCTGACCCGCCCACCGTCCTTCGAGCGAAATCGAGTCAAGCTCCGTCCAAGGCAGTATCATCCAAGGCAGTCCGCAGGACACCTCTAGCGGAGCGTGTAAGCAGAACGAACATGCCCACCACTTCGGTAAGCGTACCGCGCTGCGCTGGTCCCCTCAGCTCATACTAATCTACCCTGCTGCAGCGGCAACGTTCTGTTCGGCGAAGCGCGCGCCTTAATCACGCGCGCCCTTACATAGGCAAACCGCGGAAAGTTTCGACCTTCGAGGGCAATCACAAAGATGAGCCCGGTCGCGCATCGTCGACACCCGCGGATGCTATAGGCGCCTTCTTGACGAGCATTGGTTTGCCTCTCAATATACAACCCGTCCTTCACGACCTAGGCATCAGGGGCAAGGTCGGTCGGGCGTGCTGGCTTGACGGGGTCATTCTGCTCATTTCCATGTGTCCGACAGGATCAACTGGACGGGCTTTGCTCATGGGAGAACGAGGATCGCGACTCTTGGATCGACGAGGAATTGCTGATCCTCGGGCCTGGCGTGACTGCTGCAATTAGCCCGTACCAGATCAAGGTTCTCAAAATGGCCTTCCGCAAGCGAGGAGAATATCTGAATATTGATGCAGACGCGGACTCCTAGCTGTCCTGAAATGCTGCCGACCGCCCAAGCCTACAGTGTAACAGTATACGTTCCAATTCTCATCCTCCGGGGGCGCATGTCATAGTAGGCTTTCTTTTTCTGTTCCCGTGTATATTATAGTGGTAGTCATTCGTAGATCGTAAGCCGTGGCGCAATAAGCACTTACGGAGGAAAGTCTGGAAGGAATCCAGACTAGGGGCTAATTACCAAATACGGAAGGATGAGCAAACGGAGCCGCTCGGATACGGTCGGAGCTCGTCACGAGGTTCGTGTGATTTGGTGTGAAATCATCCCAAATCCTCCCATTTCCCGCCGTTCTTCGTCGTCTTCGTCGCTGCCGTCGTCGTCAACATCGAGTTCAGCAAAAGACTGGTCGTCGCCATTCGGCTTTACCGCTTTCGCGGACTACTATTACACACCACAGACGTCGATGGCGCAGTCATACTCCCCTGGTTCTCGGCAGAGCGCCCCCGTTCCCACCAAGGAGACGGAGACGGTTGACAATCTCATGAACGCGGAGGAAGTGCAATCTGCCTATGTTCAGCACCGCGACCGGTAGGTCCTTTCAGTGAGGAAGAGATAATGCAACACTGACATGGGCCTAGACTCGTTGGTGCCATCGACTTGACCAAGTCGATCCTGACCGAGTTGCGTCGGTTCAACAAGGATGCTTGGGTCGTTCGCTACCCCCAGTTTACGGAGAAGGTGGTGGAACACGATACTACAAAGAAGAAGCGCGCCGGCGCGCGGCGGTCTCTGTCCTTCGCCGATGATCCAACCTCGGAGACGGAGGTCGTTTTCCGTCCCGCCAAGGGCATGGCACGGGCGATGACCATGTCCGCGGTGAAGGACGTGCCGGAAGAGAAGGAGGACTCAATGGTCGAAGAGAAGGCTTCGTTGCTGTCGGATGCGGAGGCTGCGGAGTTCAACGTTCTCCGACTTGACCTCAAGCTCGGCTCGCACGGTTCGTCATCGTCGCCGGCCGCGCTCGTATCCCAGTTGGAGAAATCGTCCATCGCCAATTTGCTGGACGAGCGCATCAACTCCTCCGTGAACCACGTCGATAAGCTCCGCCAGCGCATTCAAGACACCTCGTCGAAGGTGCTCGTCACTGGCGACCTCAACGCCGGCAAATCAACTTTTGTCAACGCGATTCTCCGCCGCCAGATCATGCCTGTTGACCAGCAGCCCTGCACCACGGCCTTTTGTGAGGTTCGCGATGCGCGGGACAACGATGGCAAGGAGGAGATCCACCTGGTCAAGGAGGGCGTCGAGTATAATGTTGCGGATGACAAGACGTTCATTCGCAGGGAGCTAAAGGATCTGGAGGAGATCGTCGACGGCAACGAAAATTCGCAGCAGGTCATCAAACTATACCTCAGCGATGCCCGGGCTCCTGCGGAGTCACTTTTGCACAATGGCGTGGTCGACATATCACTCATCGACGCACCGGGTCTCAACCGTGACAGCTTGAAGACTACGGCCTTGTTCGCTCGCCAGGAGGAGATCGACGTCGTGGTCTTTGTCGTATCGGCTGAGAACCACTTCACTCTCTCCGCCAAGGAGTTCCTGTGGAACGCGAGCCACGAGAAGGCCTACATATTCGTCGTCGTCAACAAGTACGCGCAGATTCGGAACAAGGAGAAGTGTCGTCGTCTAGTGCTGGAACAGATCAAGCAGCTCAGCCCGAAGACATACGAAGATGCGGATAACCTTGTCCACTTCGTCGACTCGGCGCAGGTCATGGACTTCGCGAGCGCGCACCCCTCCTTCGATACCCTCGAGAGCTGCTTGCGCAGCTTCGTCCTCACCAAGCGCGAGAAGTCCAAGCTTGCGCCCGCCTCCACCTACCTCACCAAGCTCCTCTCCGATATCGACCTCCTCGCCGGCGCGAACGCGATTGTCGCTCAGACCGAGCTTGAACGCGCCAAGAACGACCTCGATCGGGCGCGGCCCGTCCTCGAAAAGATGCAGAACGGCCGCGAGGCGCTGGAGGAGAACCTCGAGGCGGTCGAGGAGGACGGTGCGCGCAAGAGTAGTTCACGCACGCGCGAGATCGTCGGACTTGCCCTCGACAAGGTCGCCCAGGGCCAGCCCGGCGTCGACAAGGTGCTCAGCATGCCTACCTACCCCGGAATTCTCAACCTTTGGGACTACGCCAAGGACGTTCGACGCGTGCTCCTGCAGAGCATCGATCTCGCTGTCAAGATGGCCGAGGACGAGGCTCGTGTTACCACTGCCAGGGGTGTCGATGCCGTGTCCAAGCTCGCCGACGAGTATCTCCCCGAGGGTGTCGAGCGCAGTCGTCGCGTCTTCGTCCCGGAGGCTATGTTCTCCGTACGCCCTGGCAGCAAGGCCGAGCGCCGCAAGAGCTTACGTTCTGTAGTCGCCGGCGGTGTCCTCGGTCTTGGCATCGGTCTTGCCCAGCGTCCCGACTTGCTTGAGACCACTTTCGCGGACCTCTTCGACATGCAGCACGTTTGGGTTCGCCTGGGCCTGGAGGAGAGTGAGGACAGCAAGGAGGACGAGGAGTCGAATGCGACCGCGTTGAGCGTCGTGTCGGTCGGTGTCGGCGCGCTGACGATGGTCGGCGGTCAGGCGCTTGGCGCTCGGGGTATCATTGAGGGCCTCGTGCGCGTGTCGGATATGCTCGCGAACGAGACAGCTCGCAAGTGGGCGGCTCCTGTTGTGGGCGCGTTCGCGATCGGCCTCACTGCGTACTTCGTCCTCGAGCTCCCGACCACCGTCCCCAAGACCATCGGCCGGCGTATCAGGAAGGAGCTCGTCAAGGCCGGCGATGGATCCGAGATGTATGTGGACGCGCAGGCTGCACGGGTTGCGCGGGAGACAAGGAAGGTGTTGAGGTTGGCGTCGTGGGACTTGAAGGAGCGGTTCAGGAGCGCGATGGAGGAGCGGGGTAAGGAAGTCAAGGGCGCGGAGGAGATGGAGAAGAAGGCCGGTAAGGCAGTCGAGTTCTTCAGGAGCGTCGAGATGAGGACGGGTGAGGTGCGGGAGGGTGCGGTGTTGGGCCTCGTAGACGCCTAAAGTCGCATCCACACGTTTGTGTATGTCGCTGTCCTTCATATGCTCCATGCCCCTGCTTACCCATGCATCTCAGGATATCTGTCGTTGCTTTGATTCCCTACGTCTTTTCTAGACTATCTAGACTAGAGAACGTCGTTCTTCATGCCCATCACTCGTTTATATCTTCTTATGTCTTTCCTCTCCATCACTGTTCACGTAGCTTACGGTTGGATGATATCATGTACTCATATAGTCGTGCAGGAATTACCATAGGGTTTCCTGTGCACAAGCTGTTTGAAACGTCTTCATCCTTTCTCGATGGCAATCGAACTGCCGTTTAGCAGTGCGATGCAACGCTGCGCAAAGCGAAGGAAGGGCTGCAAAAGCTAACGCGGCCACGACTTTTCGTGATGGCTGTGCGAAGCGGATGTTAAGATGTGTCTTTCCACTTGAGTCTGCTCTGAGTCCGTCTTCTGCCAGTCTTTCCTCTGACTGTATGCAATGTTCCGATCAGTGGTCGTTATAATCGCTGCAGGGACTGTGTTGCGCCTCCTTCTCCAGCTACCTTCACCGAAACATCCAATCACCGTCGCTTTGCTGTCACTAGCGCCATGCGCCGTCATTATTCTCGGCTTCAGCTTATATACCCAGCGGTTACGAAGAGAACGACCGTATAAACGACAGGAGCTCTTGACGAGCCTGGGGATACCTCAGAATGAAGCAGGAAGCAAGAAGATCGTGGGTTTCTTCCATCCGTACTGGTGAGCGTCTCTCGCGCCGGCGAGGTCAGAAGAGTCGCATTGTCATCTCTTCTTGCTCGCGCTCTGTCTGTGATGTCTTATGCGAACCAGTCTTGTCTGATTTAGCAATGCTGGTGGAGGTGGAGAACGCGTGCTGTGGACTGCTATAGCGATGCTTCAGCGCACAGAACCGGACATTGTCAGCGTAGTCTACAGTGGAGATGTCGATGCGACTAAGGAAGAGATTATCGCGAATGTTAAGGTGAGTTTATCCCGAGACCATTATCCGGTGCTGCGCCTGAACATCTTACTAGTCTAAATTCGACATCGAGCTGTCGCCTACGACCCTTGGCTTCGTTTTCCTCGAATCGCGTTGGGCCGTCGAAGACACCACATGGCCGCGCTTTACGCTTCTTGGGCAGAGCCTTGGGAGTATGTACCTCGCATGGGAGGCCATGTCCGCATTCATCCCAGACCTATTCATTGGTGCGTTCCGAAGCCACGTCGCCGAGTTCCAATCTTATTTCGTCCCCAGACACGATGGGCTACGCCTTCTCGTTTCACGTTGTCTCGTGGCTAGGCAACATTCCCGTAGGGGCCTACGTGCACTATCCGACCATTTCTACCGACATGCTCCAGCGCGTTCGTACACGGACAGCATCTCACACGAACTCTGCTGCCGTGTCGTCCTCTGGCGTCCTCAGCTTCGGAAAACTACTGTCAGTCCGTCTTCCTCCGTATAGCATCAGCGAAACGAGCCTGTACTAATATTCGCTGTTGTGCTACAGGTACTATCGCATGTTCATGCATCAATACGCACACGCTCTTCGGCGCGCGCGCTTTCTGATGGTTAACTCGTCTTGGACGAAGAACCATGTCACTTCCGTCGTGCAGTACAAGGATCCATTGCTCGATTCGCTCTCGCTCCTACTCCTTCCCTTCATACTCGTCATAAGCAGCCCAATATACCTCTTGAAGGTACTTTAAGCATGTTGTCTCGTTGGCTCAAACTGAACATTACGTCATGCTAGATCATATTCCCCGCTATTTCCACCCCGAGGTTATATTCAATCTCTGAGATGATCTCTCCTGCGCCGAGCACATTGCCGGAGATCGTCTATCCTCCGTGTGATACGCGACAGATGGTTGAGTTCCCGCTTGAGGACCGGGAGCCCGTCATCCTCAGCATCGCACAGTTTAGGTACGGACTTCTGATGGACCTGCGACGTCACCGTCTCATACGCACTCTCTTCTGTTCAGACCCGAGAAAGACCACGCCGCTCAACTCCGTTCGTTCGCCGAACTCTTGAAGAATCATCCAGAATATGCCGTCGGAGAGAAGAAGGTCCGGCTCGTGCTCATTGGTGGCAGCAGGAACACGGATGACGCTGCTCGTGTAGACGGACTGAAGGCGCTGGCCCAAGAACTCGGTGTTGAGGTCCGTTCGTCACCTTGCTCTTTCGCTCCGGCTTTCCTCAATGATGTTTTACCTATAGAATCAAACGGAATTTCTCGTTAACGCACCATACCCCGTGATACTGGAGTGGCTCTCGCGGGCAAGTATTGGTCTGAGCACGATGATGGACGAACACTTCGGGATCAACATCGTCGAATACATGGTCAGATCCCATCATATCCCATATACTGACAGTTTTTTGAGCATGTCTTATCGTTAGGCTGCCGGCGTGATACCCGTCACGCACGCTTCGGGCGGGCCGCTCAACGACATCGTCGTGCCCTACAACGGCCAGCCCACCGGTTCGTCTTATATCCACTTTGTGTCTGTTTGTAGTTAACGTGCGTTAATTCCCAGGATACCATGCGAGGACTGTCACAGAGTTCGCCCAGGCCTTCCAGACTGTTCTCGTGATGTCGCCTACAGAGCAGCTCGCGATGCGTAAGAGGGCGCGACAGTGGGCCGTACAACGGTTCTCTGCGGAAGAGTTCGAGAGAGGGTGGAATGCGAGCGGATGGAAGGGCACGTTACATTCGTGAAGGGAGCACAGGTTATCATGTAGTACGGGTGTTATACTAAGGATCGCCGTACCCAAACCTCATCTATGTGATTTCGAAATAAATGCTACCTCCGTTTCGCAGAAGTGTCGATTGCGTTAGTGCTAGACATTTGCAACAGTCGACACCCCCCACGATCAAGTTTGGTGAGATACCGTGTAAATGTGCGAGGGAATTAAAACTCGTCGGTTAAATGCTCGTTCTTAGTACTCCGCATATTTTCAAGAGACGTATGCGCACATTGCGTAGCATACTACGACCATCGCGCAGCATCTTCACGGTTGTCATATTACAGGAGGCTATATTAGCTGATGTCACAAGGACTTACCACTATTCTATGAATGGGCTCATGCTTGGCTTGTGATCACTGGTCGATGCGGTGCGTCGCTGGTGCGGCATCACGAGATCTTGGTAGGACCCCGCAGTGATGTGCAAAATTCGACATTCCCCCAATGGGGTGACCAATCCTGTTTAAACGCTTTGACGGACCGCTCCAACTTTCCTACATGCTTTCCAAGTCGTGATTTCATTCTTGCATTGGCTGCAGGGGGTAGAGATTATCAACGACCGCTCGTAATGCACAGGTTCCCTCGGAAAGACGTTAACATGTCACGCACGTACGTTCAGCCATGTTGTCACTTTCAAGCATGCGCAGATCTTTAAATGCACCTTACGAGCATTTGAAATACGTGATCCTCGTTACAGACCTTTAATATCCGACTATGCGATGGGAGTACGGTTTACCATCGTTTACTCGATTGTACTATAGTTTCGAGCTATTTATCATTATCTCAAGTCTGCGCTGAATGAACAACTGGCCTAAACTGATTCGCGAAGTGGGTTGATCCAGAGAAAAGGTGGCCCAGGCTGCTAAAAGTGAAATCTCAAGGACTAGAGGATTCACATGTAAGGGAATATAGCTACAGAATGATGAAGGTAGAGCGCGTTCGCTCATGCTGTGAATATACGTTTTGCCTACAGGTGCCGGAGAAGCGCGTTACACCCCTGGATATCTCCAATATGCTTATGCGTGTAGTTTTCACATCGCTCAAGATATTCCAAGATAAGGCTACAATAGCTGAACAATCTCTAGATATTGTACAGAATCGCTGTTAAAGATGTGTGCAAGTAATGCTGGATCACCCGAAGCGATTGATTAGCACTGGCACTCTAACTTCAAATGACTGACGAACATGTAGCAATGAGAGACTCTAGTGGATACCTAGCGCGTGACAAGCCTGCTGAGCAGCTTGCTCCTTCGCGGCATCCTGACTTGGTCCTGCACCGCGCCCAAGATCTTGGCCAGCGACTGTAAGAGAGATTTCTCATGACCCGAACTGAACAAGATTACGAAAAAGCAAACCTAAAGCTTGGGCGAGCCAGCCGTTGCCGTTCTGAATGATTTGCCATTTGAGTACGTTCGTGTTACCATAATTCGCCTGAAGGTAATTGTTCAGAGTAAGACGGTCTAGATAGCGGTTTATGAAATGCGATTCGTTGAGACGGAACTTGAGTGAACCCACAAGACATCGTTCTGGTGGAGGACGGGTTGAGAGTAAGATGTATGTAGGCTTGAGATCGGATGCGTTCCAATGGTGTCCAAGCGGCATGCTATATACAAGTCGTGAAGATGAGAATGGCAATGGAGTTGGTCGTACCGTCGCTCATTTCTGTTGGAAACCACGACAGCCAAGTGCCAGAGAGGATGGGAAGATTGGCATGCGAAGTTATCCGCAATCAGCGGGCGAGGAAGGAGAGGAGGGGAGAGCCATGGCAGACAGCTACAGGCCTCGGAGAACTGGCAGTTGTGTCAGCCTGCAAGACGGTATTGATCGACGGTCTACTGATCATAATGTACACGTCGCGACCGCGTACTGCAATATGCATGTTTTTGAATGTATGTCGGGGTTTTGCCGAAGCGTATATCTGAGAATCTGCGGAACAACAACGGCGATCCCATTTGCGAATTGCGAAGCCTGGAAGGTACGTACCTGATAATGGACGGGGACGTTCTGACCGTCAATTGCAGGCTCAGCGGCGACTCGGAAACAATTCCTACGTCCGCGAACTGTACGAGATCGACTGCCTCCCGTCTGCGACGTGCCAAATTATGACATAGAAATATAGCCTTCCTTCACCGAGTTGGCTGAACATTGCGGTCATCCGTGGCCGCTGAATCGGAGGCTACTACCACATACTCCCGACTGTCGTCATCGAGCCCGCGCGGAACGTCCTGCGGGAAGATGCCGAGAAGACCGTGAAAGAGGCCCAGGGCGTGTTGCAGTGCGGCACATGCCAGAGTATCGCATGGAGGTGTCCGGAACAATATCAGAGATCCCACAAGCGGTACGTAAAGAGCTGCAGAGTACAAGGCGAGCCAATGCCATGTCGCCGGAAAAGGTTCAATTGCGGTTGTGACGTATGGCTGTGTAGTCCGCCGATCGCTTCGGAGGGTATAAGCGCCGAAAGTATCGAAGCAGCATATGATTAGCCCTAGATCTGAACAAAGTAATACTCGTTTAGACAGCCGACCAATCAGCCAGGAATATTAGTGGTTCAGGAACAGCCTGGAGTACGGCTTACCCCGCGATGCGCGAAACTTACAGGTGCGGGTGCGGATGGATCGACGCGGAGTGATTTCCAATGATCCTAAATCACTTCGATCCGGGAGGATTGGGCGACGTAAATGATCTGCACGTAGCGGCATCGTAGATGTTGTGACCGATACCCCCAGAGGGATCCGAGGTGAATGACAGCACGTCCAGGCACCGAAGGCGAGGAAGTATTCCAAACTGATCACGGAATGCAGAAAAGCAAGGAACTCTAGTGCCCGAATGAAAGCCTCGAAACGACAGGAGGCCGGTGGAACTCTTATCGCAGAGGCTGGACATTCAATAGCAGTGGGTAGTGGCTGCAGATCCGGTCTAGTCGGATTCTCCTGTCATCTGCTTGTTTCACGACAAGAGATTCTAGCAAAGTATTAAGGGTACCCTGTCTAGAGAATTGTTCATTATTGGCTGACAACAGCCTGAATCACTTCATTGGAAGGAACGGTCTGAAGCCGAGGAAATATCTTCGAGCCATTCGAAGCGGACGCAGGAAAAGCAGTATTGGGCCATTTTTAGAGCTGGCTCCGGATTCCTTGGAATGCAACAGGAACGAAGGTGAGTAGAAGACTGCAGTGCTGCTTCTGGCCAAAGAGCGCGCGGGGCAACATGTGCAACACTAACAGCCTTAGCCCCGACGCCGCCCCCCCCCCCCCCCCCCTTCACAGGCTCACGTGCCCATTGGAACAGACCTCGACTCTGGTCGTCTGCTCGGACTCCCTCCGCCGCGGTGTCTCTCCTTCTGCATTACGGCACTACAGGCTGTTTCAACTCACGAGGATGCTCTACACCATCTGAAGGTAGCAAGATATCAGCGAGACGCTCTAGATCATTCAGCGAGCATCACTGAGCGCGTGTTGATGTCACCAACGCGCTGCAGGTGTTGTCGGAGGAAATGTCGATCATGAATCCATCTCGACTCATTGTCCCGTTCATATTGCCATCTCCCGGGGAAGGTTCAAGCGTGGAAGATTCACTCACTCAAGCTTCTGTATTTCGCCTTATTTCTTGGGGATTTCCAGCGGCAACCGATGATCCGAAGGCAGGACTTCAGGATAGAGGTGTCGTTCTGGGGTGCGAGGACGGTTCCGTATACCTCATTGCTGCGCAGAACAGACCCCAAGGAAGTCTGAACACATCTGTGCCCGACCTCCAACAAGTATCGGCTATCACTGCCTCCTCTCGTTCCACATCACCTTCACCCTCCTCCCGCTCCGTTCTCAGCCTTGGCTCGACCTCCGCGTCCGGGCGAAGATCTCATTCCCCAGGACATGGCTTCGGGATGTCTGCTCCGTTCAATCTCACGTCACGCTCTCGGATAGTATCAGGCGTGACGACCTCGCAGGCCGAAGCACCGAAGAATTACGTGGATTACGATGACGAACCGGATAAGCTCAAGGGCATCCTCGCCAACAGCGGTGTCCGCGAACACTCCGTGCTCGACGGGATAATGCCGAGCTTCAAACCAGACCTTGCCATCGGCAGAACGAGCCCTCCCTCGAAGCAATCGACGCTTTCGCCTAGCGCATCTGCGGGAGAAAGGTCCAGATTAAACCGTCAGCCCACTTCTCTACTCTCGGCGACGCACTCTCCAGCGTTCTCTGTCCAATCTCTTTCACCTCCGTCTTCGCCGGACGGAGCGGGCACAACCTTCGTGGACGTGCCAACGGAGCATTCTTCTCTGGCCCTTAAATTCCATGCAGTACCGGCGCGGACGGGTCCCGGTTGTGGGGTTGTTGCAATGCATCTGCTTCCCAAGACTTCGTCCATTCTGGTTTTGCAAGAGAACGGGTAAGTGAATGTTCGCAGGTCCACGGCCAGTTTTGACAATACCTCAGTGATTTAGCAGATATATGCTTGGACGACGGCAGTTCGCGTGCGAGCGTTTCAGCCGGTTCGGAGCGCGACGAACATGCATGGGAATGGCACAATCTTCATGTCGTAGAGCAAGAACCTGGGATGGTGCGTTCGAATATCCTTTTGCCGAAGGTATAGAATATAACTGAATTGGTGCATTCTTTTGGTACAGCAAACCGGCGACACCATATGTATTGCATGCGGACGCCAAGACGAGTTGTTCACGGCGTTAGATTCTCAAGCACATTCTCAAGCTGAGAACACGACGCGGATCGTTGTCTTTATGCATCGTGCGCAGGAAGAAAGCAACGTTGACCCGCCAACAATGGACAAAATCGGCGAGTGGTATATAGCCGGAGCAACGGAAGGAATCGCGCTACACAGGGCTGGCCACGGTAAGGCATTCCGGGTGGCTAGGAACACCTGTCATCACTAATGCAGACGCCTGTCTACAGGTTCTTTGTCTTTAATCTACGTCAATGCGTCTGGAGACCTCGTATCACGTCCATTCATTCTCCAGCCCAAGGAACCCGCGGCACCGGCAACTAGCTCCGGGCCGAAGACGCATGCCGAATCGATGTCAGATGGGCACCATTTGACCCTGCCCAACCCGTTCAAGGTTTTCGCGTCCCGTTCTGCCGAAGATGTCGTCTTGCTAGAGAAAAACCGGGACGCCGACGACGATGCTTCGGAAGTAGAGCTGGGCTCGGATACCGTATTTGGCAAAGTACTGGAGGAAGGCGATGCTCTCGAGGCTTGCGTCCGGAGTCGGAGTTATGATTACGGCTCAATTTGCCTCGTATGGAGTCGCAACCTTCCAGAACATCTGTCGGTAAGTTCTCGTGCGTATTGATCGTCGATCATGCTACCATAGCCCATAGGGCTGGGAACTCCGTCAAGGGGAGTTGACCAGAGTATTTGAGACGACTGTCCCATCAATTCAAGATGTCCAATTCATCAACGAACGACACTATGCATTGGTCTATGATGTATGTCGATTTTTTTTTTGGCCATCGCTCAACAATCTCATGATATATTGATCCTTTGAATCCAGGACCACGCTGACGTGTACAGCCTAGAACACGATTCCTCGACCAGCTCGACCAAGTCGGAAGGATCAATCAAATCGTCCGAACTTCCTGTCCAGCAGTAAGTTCAAGGCTGTCTACGATCCTTGCCACCGTCGCTGAGTTCATTGTTTGAGTATTCGATTGCTTCATAGAATCTCTTTCCTACCTACAAAGTCTGACAGCGTCGAGCTGGTGTCGCCATACCAAGCGCTGTCCACACGCATCACGAGGAAGGCGAGGAGGAAAGTGCAGCTCTACGCTGTCAACAGCGAACAATCTCCCTCGCAACCAACCGACAAGTCAACGAAAGGGACTACACGGAGCCTTGTGGCCACGCTCTGGCGGTCCGCATCCTTAACGTCCTCCAACACGATCAAGATCCCTGTGGTAACGGCGATGCTCCCTGTGGATGTCAACGACATCATCTGCGGTTACGGTATGACTCTAAACGCTTGATCGGGCTTTCGCTTATACTATAGCATGCAGACGATGGATACCTTCGTCGTACCTCTATTCCGAAGCTGGCCAACGGTCCCAATACCTCAGACCCTGCATCTCTCGTGTCGGATCTTCCTTTGCAAGGCTATATTACATCCTTGCACCAGACCAGGAATGAGCGTACTGGGGAGCGCCTCATAGTGGGCGGCGCTGACGACGGTACCGTCGCAATATGGGCTTTCAGGCTAGTGTTCAGTTCCCGAGTCGTGCATATACTCAGCCCGACACCAACAGTGATCTGAAGATGTTGGCGAGGTGGACTCTGTTCGTGGTGCCACTGAAGATCGTCATACATATCGGGGACGCAAAGCTTGGACGCGCTCGGGGATGCATTCTGTGCGTATCTCAAGATGGTACCATTGGCACGATCGCTCTTGACGGGTATCAATTGTAAAGATCGTCTAGTCTTTCTTCGCGGGTAAAGGATTGACATTCACGTTTCAGTTTGTACCTTGTACCTGGATCCGAGGCACCGCTAACTCGAGCATGCCTTGGGGAAGGCAACCTGCTGCTGCTCTATGCTGACGGTCGGGCTCGTTTGTGGGACACAAACACGCTGGAGTTTTGGCGGTCCATGTCGCTCGAGAAAGCCGAGGAGATGCTCAAGCAGAGCGATTGGGTACAATGGTGAGTAACAGTCTCATATTTCCTGGGCCATGTCAAACCCATACGTGTAGGTCTATCGAGGACGTCGATCCTAGTCGGAATACGTATCAAGTGCTCCGGACACCGTGTAGCTCTGCGGACGCAGGTAGACGCCTCCAGCCGTAATCTGCGCAAACTGCTCACGACTTCACGCGACAGCCTCAACGTTGCTCGTTGACGTCTCGCAATTGTTGTCTACAAGCTCTGGAGGCGGCAAGTTGATGTTGGAGACGATACGCTGTATCCTCGGCATGCTCATGACTCCCGGTCTCAACGTGGAGATCGACCGCATATGCCGAGATAAATTGGGCGTAAAACCTGTTGGCATACCTGTTGGGCGCTCACAGTACGTATTCATGCGTTGAGCCGTGTACCGAAGGCTAAACGACTTGACGATACCGACAGTGGTCGATCGGTATGCCTTCCGTTCGCTCACGCCCCCGAGGATACGTGGAGGATATCACCGGAAGCATCGGCGACGCGTTTGCTGGCGATTGTCTGCCTCTTACGAATGTTGTCCTCTCACGAAGGTACGACTATACGCTGGCATTGGCGATTGCGTGTCCGTCATTTACTTACCGGTATTTAGGAATGGCGCATGACGCCAGTACCGTCCTTGCATTCTATGCCACTTCTCTGGCTGCGCCGGTGGGCCCGTCTTATCGACGACCGAGCATTGTATTCGTAGCCAACCTCTGGCTCGATGCATCGGGTATGTGAATTCCAAGAGTATCGCAGACGATGCCATTCAGCGTTTAGCAGGAGAGCTTCGACAAGCCATCCGCGTTGTCATGGATGCAGAAATTGCTGCATTGTCAGATGATGAAACTATGTCTCTTGCTGACGACTGGGCGCACCACCGTCAGTTATCACAATCCGCTGGCACCGGCTCTCCTGCTTATGATTCCATTAGTGCCTAACCTTCAGCCGGACGCAACGAAACATTCACGGATAGCGGCCGTGGCATTGCTGATTTGCGGATCCATCGCTTCCGAGAAGTACAGCCTTCTGTCCACAAAGTGAGTTTCCATCCGATCTCTTACGAACCGTCGCTGAGGGAGATATCGCAGCACGCTATCAGACGTGTCGAAGTCCATCGCCGCCTACCTCCACGACGAGGGCTCTCCCCATCGCGCCCTCGCCATCGAGCTTTGCGCGCGTGGATTCGACACGTGGCAGCACTACGTCGATGCCATGGCATTGCTCCGCCGTCTCTTCGCATTAGCCACCACCTCGTCCAAGGACAGCATCACGCCGCAGAACGTTGGTCCTCAGGCGCGGCTGGCGGTGCTTCACCTGGCAGGCACGAATACGCCCCTGTTCATGACCACGCTCTCTTTGGAGATTCTGCACCCGCAAAGCATTCCGGATAGCAAGGCGGTGATGCAGATGGTGGCGTTCCTCATCCGGAAGGTGACCTCTTGCCCAATGCCTACATCATTGCAACACTTACAAGGTGGCATGACACAGAAACCGCTCATCATCCTGCCGAACCTACCGCGCCTAGTGGAAGCCGTCATCAAATCTCTGGATCCCAGCCTCACGGCCAATCGCGAAGCGGTATTCGATGCTGCCACTGAGATCTTGGGTCAGGTGGTCCGCACGTAGGTCGCAACCTCGCTTCGTCGTCCGTCATGACCTCACGCCCGGCTTGTTCCACCGTAGATTCCCCACCGTCGACTTTCATATGGGCACGCAACGTCTTGCTGTTGGCACTTCCGAGGGCGCCGTCGTCATGTACGACCTCAAGACGGCGACCCGCCTGTACGTGCTGGAAGGCCACAAGAAGCGACCGGCGGGCCTCAGCTTCTCGCCCGACGGCCGGAGACTGGTAACGGTCTCACTCGACGAGAGTGTCGTGCTCGTGTGGAAGGTCGGAAGCAGCTTCACCAGCCTTTTCAACCCAGGAGCACCTCCGAGGCAAGGCAAGGGCGGCTCGGACCCCTTCAAGACTTTGCCCTTCAACGTCGGGGATCAAGGTACGCAATCAATGTTTTTACCTGTAGATGAGGGGCGGATGACATTACTCGATGACAGCTCATATGTCCCTGGCTGCAACTCTGGATCTTATCCGCTTCGAATGGCCCTCGGATCGTAGTGTGAAGCTAAAAATTCGAGATAGCACACTGACGTTCAGCACATAGAGATATCATAGAGGTTGCGCAATCACAAGAGAACCATCGTCGAACTCAATACATAAAAAACTAAACACCACGTCTTCATAAGACGGGTTGTCAGAAGAGAATGAATATCCGTGTTCCATTACGAGCATGTTGTGTTGACCACGGGTGCATATGTTACTAGTTGAGCACGACAACGTCGAGGCGATTACAGATGCGGAGAATCTGGTCCATTACGTTTCCTGCATCCCACATCCTACATGAACGAGAGTTGCAGTCTTCAATGGCAAAGCCACGTCTCCGCGCAAGACATCAACGAGCTTCCGCCCAGGACTGCCTCCACGCGAACGTGGTCCCTTAACACAGGTTCTCGCTGATGGCGGATGTCGCCGCGCCGTTCATGATGAGGGCGACGATGAGGCCGTAAAGACCCAAGACTTCGGCGAAAATGAGGATAAGAATCTGCGCAGAATACGAATGAGTCATCTCGTGCAAGGCAGCCCAACATGATTACACATACCATGCCGACGAAGAGCCTTGGCTGTTGCGCAGTGCCCCGAACGCCCGCGTCACCGACGATACCGATCGCAAAGCCAGCGGCCAGACCGGCCAGACCGACGGAGAGACCGGCACCAAGCTGGATGAAGCCGGCGAAGAGGGGCATTTGAACGGCCAGCGAACCGGAAATGAGGACGGAGACGACGAGGCCGTAGATCTACGAGCGACCACCGTCAGAGGACATTATTATTTCCAAACAGACGGCAGTGACGTACAGCAATGATACCAGCCATGATAACCGGGACGACACACTTCATCATGAGGTCGGGACGCAGGACGGACATGGCGGAGATGCCGACGCCTGACTTCGCCGTTCCGTAACTGAAAAAAGACGCACATCGCATCAGCCGCTCATCCAATATGAAGCGGGCGAGATGGCTCACCTAGCACCGATACCTGCGCCGCAGTAAAAGCCAGCGTCAGCTTCCTGGTCTTCACAACACGCCCATAGGCTGCCGCGCCGCCACCCCCGACGCCGCCAACACCATCATACGCTCTGAAGCACGTCGATACTCACATGTGAACACGATGGCGCTCGTGCAGCCCTGCCCGACGCGCGTACTCGTCAGCAACATGCCAGCAACGCGGAGCATTCCAACGTACCATGGCGCCGAAGAAGGGGGCGTAGACGGGGCAAAGGTCAGACATTTTGGCGAATTTCGGCGAACAGGAGTAAGAAGAGAGCGTGGACGATGCAGGCTCGAGCGGCGGGTAGGAGGTCGTCGACGTCGGTAGAGAGCCGGATGAACAGGCGTCGAGGCGATTTGAGCTCCGCCTGCGTATGCGCTGGCGCCGCTCAAGCTTTCATCTCCGCTCAGCTGCGTCACCGACTGTGATGCGACTACGCGCTACGATAGGCAGCGAATAATGTATTCCGTGTTCGCAGTGCACTGTCGCAGCATGCAAATCCTGTATATGCGGTATGGTACAGATGAGGAGGTAAATAAATGAAGTGCAGCCATGTACGAGATGAATTCTCCGCGCGCAGCGCAAATAAATGCACGCCAAATCGCTATGCAGCCCCCACGCCCGACTCCGCCTCGGTGTCGGTATCCACCCACGCATCGTTGTCCGTCGTGCCATCTGCGTCGGCGCCGCCGTCCACAACAGCCAGCTCAATCTGTGAGCGCCTTTCGCCACCATCATCCTCCGCCGGTGGTTCCCTGCTTCGCGGGCGGCTGCGCGCAGGCGAAACGAGTACCGAAGACGACAGCGGCCTGCGCGGGGCGAACCTCGAAGGGGCGAACCTCGAAGCTCGCGCCTTGCTTTGCCCGCCAGCACGCAGCAGCGGACCGTGCGCATCTGGTTTCCAATCGCCCGCCATCGCGGACGGCGCCGTCGCAGGCAGATCAGCCGCGTCCTCGGTCCCGTCGGACTTCGCCCCAACACCGGCACCGTCCTCATCCCCATCTCCATTCCCATCGGCAGCTGAGCGAGCCAACGCCGGTTGCAGCTTCACCTCGTGCAAGTGCGCGCTACGCGCCCAGCGCTTGGCGGAGCGCGGGACGGAGCCCACTGCGCCGCCGACGGCGCTGGGGCCCGCGAACGGACCCTGCGAGTTGGAGCGCTGCATCTGCGGCCGGCCCTCGAATCCCTTGGCGGGCGTCGTGGGCCGGTGTGCGTGCACGAGGTAGTGGCGGCTGAGCGGAATCGAACGCGGGGTGCGCGCGCCCGCGGAGACTCGTCGTTCCGGGGGGATCTGCAGTTGGGTGTTGACCGGGGGCGGTCTGGCCTTCGCGGCTTTACGCAGAGGAGTGGGCGATGGGAAGTGGACGCCATCTGTAACGATCGATCAGCCAAATGTTGGAATGGTGAACAGGGACGGCCGATACGAACTGCCATTACCCATATCCGACGGACTGGGCGAAGCTGGGATTGATGGAGCCGAGTCTCGCCCGGTCAGGCTGCGGGTCCGCAACCGGTTCATCCAATCGCTCGCTCCACCGAAGCTCAACGTTCGTTTACCCCACTCTCGCACCGACCCATGACTTCGCCTGACGGTGACGGGCCAGGATTCTCCCCGGGATCCCCGAGTGAGGCCCATGAACACAAGCACGGTCAGGAGCAGTAAGAGTTGGGCGATGCCAAGCCATTTCTCAAGGGCTACCTGAAAGCCCCGTATCAGCATTCTTCGATATATCCGGGCAACGCATGATTTACCTCGTCTGCGAGGTAGTTAACTCGCGAGACCAGTTCTCCGTGTTCATATTGAATTCGCCTGCGCTCCTTCTCGAGCTCCTGGATCGTGCGTTGGTACATCTGACCTTGAGCCTTGCTCTGATAGTCGCAGCGGCCCCGTCAGCATTTGCCGTCAATGTCGAGCTTGTAAAAGCACTCACGATGCCCTCTAGCCGACCGACGTCCTCGCTCAGCCGACGCATGATCTCGCGCACGCCCGCAATCTGCTCCTCCACGTAGCGCGCGTATAGTGTAGTGTTCGCCTCCAGAGCGGCGACGCGATTCATGATGGTCCGGTAGATGGATTCGCCGCCTGTCCCCGCGACTGGCGGTGGTATCGGTGGGTACGAGACAGTCACTGAAGTGACAGCCGTAGGAACAAGAGCAGCGACCGATGTAAGAGAGGAGGTAGAGGATTTCACGCTGGACGTAGGTGGGTTGGACGAATCGCTGACATTCGTGCTGGAGGACGAGATTGTACTTATGATATGGCCAGACTGGCTCTCGGCTTGTTGGGAGGCGCGCGACAACGATGTGGTGATGCTGGGGGCCTGGTTATCAGGCGTCATATTTGTCATGCTCCGGGAGGAACCGGATGACGCGGGAGTGATAACAGTGTGTATACTGCTTGTGGTCCCGTCCGAGGTGGGTGGTGAACTCGAAGGTGCCGCGAAAGATACTGAAGCGTTGCTCGCATCGTGATCTGCGGCGCTGGGCCCTGTTGAAGGTTTGGCATCCCTAGGTTCGATGACACTCGTCGATGAATCTGAAGGCGCGTCGATTCCGACCGATGGTGTCTCCGCTCCTCGTTGATCGGAAGATGGTATTTCAGTTGCGACCGGGGCCGATGACGGATGTTCCTCCGATTGAACAACACCGCGTTTCGCCCTGCTCTCCGCTTCCCAGACGTCCCATTTGTACTCTTCGAGCTGCGTTAGGCCGTACACCCGGAGTAGAGATACGGGGCAATAATATTCATTGCCGTAATGCGAGTGTAAATCGATCCGGATGAAGCGATAGAAGTCACGGAGAGACGGCGGTGGGTGGAATGACTACACAACGATGGCCCTGTCAGCCAAAGACGTCGAACGAAGGGAAAGCAAAGCCTCACCTGCACCCCTCGCACGTTCTTTGCCGTATACCGCCCCGCAAAGGTCCACCCGTCCGGGTTGGTCACATACGTCTTCGCCACGCTGACCGTGAACTCCTTGAACACGCCGCTGAAGAACTCAAAGTTGGCGAGCTGAACGGTGTCGATCCGGATATCGTCGCAGAGCTCGACGACGACGAACTGCTCTTTCGCGCCGCACGGGCTGAGCATGTACCGGTCCTTCTTCGAGGAGAGGATGGACGAGGCCGACTTGGCGCCGCGGTGCGCGACGTGCACGCGCGCTGAACAGTCCGAGTTGGCGTAGTTGAATCGGTCCGTGAGCGGGATCCGGAAGTGGGGTGCCATCTGGAGCTGTTGGTGTTGGTGCTGCTGCTCCTTCTCCTGCTGCTGTTCCGGCGGCGTGTGAGGATCGGCGAGGTCGTGCGGGGACGGGGTCGGGGGTGATGATGGATCCGCACCATCAGATCCCGCTTCGTCGGTGTTCGCCTTGGGCGATCCGGTAGCAGGAGGGGAATCCCGCTCCTCTGACGCTAGGAGGCGCTTCGCCTTCCACTCCTCGAAGGACAACAGCAGATCATCCTCTTTCTCCGGTTCCACGGAGGGCAAAGGGCGAAGGCAACATATTGGGTCTTCTGGTGCTTTTTGTTTAAGCACGGCTATGGCTCGGAACTGGTCGTTCAACGTCGTAGGTTCCGAGAGGCATGGCGGGGCAAACAAGCATATCAAGAGCGCCACCGCAAGGGGAACCCCTTTCATCTCCAACTCGCTCGATATTCTGAGACCACCAGTATACTGTCAGTAGTCGGCGGTCAGAGAATGGACGTTATTCTGGACATTATATCCATGAGAGAGGCTGTAGCCACGTAGTCTGCTGCCACTGCAGGTAAGGCGGGAAGGCAGGTTGCGAAATTCAATGGGCATGTGATCTGCCCGTCATTGAACTTTGAAGCCAACGAGCGTTGCCGTAGTTTCCATCCTCGATATCGAAGAAAAGCTGGATGAATCTGCGGCAGGTAGATCCACTATTGTGATACTGCGACCTGCGCGTACTGATACCAATATTGTATAGGTATGAGACTATGTTCATGTACTCTTCATATTACCGGATGGCGTGAACCAACGTTTACCTACCGAACCGGGTCCAACCCCCCACGTTACCTTTGTTCGGATGACATTGTCTATACCAGCACATATGCGTGAGCTCAACGGGCTACCCGAAACTTCGCCGCTCCGCCTCGCGAATGCATGAAACCGTGCGCCAAGCTTGTCATCTCGTCATGAAGAGGGAGATCCAGCTGCAGATTCTCCGAATGGCATACATTTAGGATTGTACACCACGGATGATTTGCCGCTCATCTGCGAGACGGCCGGACGGGGTGTCATCACATACATCGGCGAGTTACACTTGAATATGCGCAAAAGCCGGCGTTGTTCGCGTCACCTCTGTTTAGTGCATAGTTGGTGCTTTTCATGTGCCTTGAACCCGAAAGTCCATTCCAATTGGATGGCTCGTATTTCTGTGTAGGTCGTCCTGTAAATCATCGTGTCCCCCTGCCCAACCTGCGAATGTTTGCCAAGTCCGAGCCGTTGACAGCTCCGTTCCGATGGATGCTTTCATTCACGCAATTGAATGGAGAACCATGGGTCTGAACAACCTTTGTATCTCTTTCGTCCCACGGACGACTCCATCATTGCGTCAAATTACATCTGCCATCATGGTTTCGCGTCTTGCATCTTACCACACGGAGCACTGCATCACAGACTAATGAGCACGCGGACAATCGTCTTATACCGAGATATATCCCATCAACGTTGCGCAGAAATCAGGCGGTATGCAACATCCATCGCCGACGACCCGACATCTGGCCGTTTGAATTGCCTCGGACGATGGCCGTGATCGACAGAGACGACAAGCAGACCGGCTCCGCCTTGCGCTTACACCACGCACCGAACGTTCAATTCTATACCGATGTCGGTGAAAGCTCCGCGCCTTCTCGAAGGTCAGCCGGGGCCTGACCGCGTTGACATGGTGGCCAACGAACGAACCCCGCCCGGCCCGCCACCACAACCTGCGCGTTCGAGTTGTTGAGGGGAGGTGGATATAAAGGTGAGTCGCCCAAATGGTAGTTCCTCCAAGCAGAGAGCTCATTCAGCCGCACAGTGCATTTCGCCGTTATGCTCTCCTTCCTGCTCCTCGCTGCGTCCGCCGTTGGCAGCACCCTCGCCGCGCCAGCCGACTTCGAGTTCGCCAACACCACCTCGCTCTTCAGCCGGCAAGGTATCCCGAGCGGCACCGGCACCAACAATGGCTTCTTCTACTCCTTCTGGACCGACGGAGGAGGCTCGGTCACTTACACGAATGGCAACGCTGGCTCGTACAGCGTCTCCTGGACAAACGCCGACAACTTCGTCGCCGGCAAGGGCTGGAACCCTGGATCTGCCCAGTATGTCCTTCGCCTTACTATACTCCTTACCTTCAGCAGTCGCTCACCATCGGTCGCGTCCCTCAGAGCCATCTCCTTCACCGCCGACTACGAGCCCTCGGGCAACTCCTACCTCTCCGTCTACGGCTGGACGATGAGCCCACTCGTCGAGTACTACATCCTCGAAGACTTCGGGACGTACAACCCCGCGAGCAGCCTCACGCACAAAGGCACCGTCACCTCAGACGGGAGCACGTACGACATCTACGAGGGCACGCGCGTGAACGAGCCCTCGATCCAGGGCACGGCCACCTTCAACCAGTACTGGTCCATCCGGAGCTCGAAGCGCTCCAGCGGCACCGTCACGACCGCGAACCATTTCAACGCCTGGGCTCAGCTCGGGCTCCAGATGGGCGCGTTCAACTACCAGATCGTCGCCACGGAAGGGTACCAGAGCAGCGGCAAGTCGAGCGTCACCGTCACCGCGGGCGGGTCCAGCACCGGTACCGGTACCGGCACCGGCACCACCACCTCGACGCCCCCTAGCGGGACGGGCAGCAGCGGCGGCACCTGCTCGGCTCTCTACGGACAATGCGGCGGCATCGGGTGGTCCGGTGCAACCTGCTGTTCGTCGGGCACCTGCAAAGCGTCCAACTCGTATTATTCGCAATGTCTCTAAGTTGATCGATATTATCAGTGAGGGCTGCTAGTGTAGGTTGTAACCCGGCATGGTTGACTTGGATCGCCAAAGTGGTGTATAATACTGCGAGCACGTATATACGTACCCTTCTCGGAAGATTACCTTGCTAATGAGCACGATTCTGAGTCTGAACGAAGTGAAAAGACAAGCGTTTTCAGAGCTTCGATTCAGCGGTGCTCTCGATGGCTCGTAGACATCAGTCCTGTTGTGTTCGTACTCGTGCGTATCAATGTTTCGTTGTAAAGGTTTCAAACGTAGTTGTTTTCGAGTCGTTGAGCGTCGCTCGTAGTTGCAGTCAGGCAGTCTGCATGCAGTGTGAAGGTTGCGAAGGCATCTTGGCTCTTGCTTCCAGCTTCCAGACTTGCATTACCCACGTACTCTGCTGTAATCTGAACAACACTTGCGCGATCACCACGACTGCCTTGACTTCTGCTCTCAACGCTCATCTTAGCTGGCCAACTCCGTGTTTCCTTCTTGAGCCGCCATGCAACCCGCCGTGCAGCGTCCATCGGCGCCCTCGGACTACTGCCTCCAACATCCGCACAACCTCGGCGTACACATATCCGTCACGCTTGAAACCGCAGTGAACATGCTCGTCCGTGCCATCACCTTGGCGGCTTCGGTGCCGTTCGTGTGGACCACGATTGACCGACCATCCGGTGAGTCTTCGCATCCAACACGTCTGGAAGGAGTCGAGGTTGAAGGAGCAGGGGCTTTCATTCGCGTTGGAAGATGGGCAGGTGTATCTTATCTGCGTGCCACACAACCAAGTGTTTCCGAACGACGGCGTGCGCTATCTAGACCCGGGCCACGTCGCGACATCGCCTGTAGCGGGCAACCGCGTGCGTACGCGTTTCTCATCCTATATATCGTGTCGTTTGGGCTTAAATAGAGCGCGCATATAGGAACTAGAAGTCATCGAGGATAAATGCGGGTTCGCGCCGGGCCAAGACCGCGTCGCTGACCGCGTCCGGCGGCGGTTTCGCATCGTCAGGGGCGGCCATCCCCAACTGGTGCTCGTCCACTATACCCGCGACCGTCAACAATATCTCCGTACGTCGTCACCCCCGTCACCCCCCATCCACCCCCTTTCATTTCTTTCCGTCATTGCTTTGCCAACATAGTCCATCTTCTTTGACTCACCTCGCGCGCGCATGCGTGCACAGAAATCCCTCCCGCCATCGCCAATCAGCCCGTACGCCAATACCCGATCCGAGAAGTCCGCGAACAGGCCGTCTTCGTCGCGGGGCCGAAGCAGGGCCAGCGCGTGCCCGCAACGGGCGGTATTCCCCCAAGCGCCGCTGGCATCGTAATGACTACGGAAAAGATACCGAACCAGGTCGCGTTGCTCGCGCAGCAGAACGCGAACATGCACGCGTTGGAGCAGAGGCGGGGCGCTGCGGGCGGCATGCAGGTACGCGGAGTTCTTCTCGCCACCCGAAAAGTTTGCTTGTGCTCACGGAGTTGGGTCGAACTCGTAGAGGCAGGCGCCCCAGCCTGTGGAGGAACACGACTCGGGAGGTGAGCAGTTTTTTTCGTTTGCGCGTGCTTGTAATGTCGCCGTCTGAGGGCTCTTTGATTCGCCGGGTCCAGATGAGGCCGACCATATATCTGCACGCACGCTGGCTACTACTCGATACAAGCGCAACCACGAGCTTATGAACGAGGTGTTCATGTACGCCGCCTTTGGTACGCCGGCGCTCGGCTTGCGTCCCTTGCTTCAGCTCACGATACCACGCAATTCATACAGGCGACAAGGTGATGCCGCCCGCGCCTCCGTCATACTCGGAGCTCTTCAAGAAGGAAGAACTGGACGAAAAAGTGGTATGAGTATTTGCCCTTCATCTAGTCGTGCGTTTCTCTGACGACGTCCTGCTCTGGATAGTCAAAACTCGCGGCCGAGGTCGAAGAACTCACCGCGAAGGCGGCGTCGCGGAGAGCCGCGCGTGCTCCTACAGAACCAGAGCTTGGCGACGTGTCGATGGAGTCGGTTGGCGCGGTCGACGTATGAAGAGACTCCGGGAGGCGCTTTCCATCGAGGCCAGAGGTCCCCCCGGTCCATGAACAGTCCCATTTACGCGCGCCAGCAGTTGGCGGGTTTGTCCGCAGGATCAAGCGATTGAGCAGAGACGGTTTCGTCCGCTTTGTATAACTGTATTTTTTTGTCGTAACCGTTGTCTTACCGTACGGGTGGGTCGTCATACGTGCAACGTACCAGTTCTTGCACGATCCGTCCAGGACGAAGAGAGGGAAACCTTGGATAATGCAAATATATGATACATTGTGGATGGATGCGGGGTTTTTGCCGGACCGTCTAATAATTTAGCACGTTGACCCTGATGCTCTGCCGGATGTCGTTGCTGTGCTCGGAGACCCAAAGGCGCGGAAGAGGACCGAAGGAAGAGAGTCGCGGACGGGTGTGGAAGGAGAGGATAAAGACACGGGCGACATATACGTTACTTCGACGAAGATACCCCCCCTCTGACAAACGTTTCTGTCCGACGAAGAGCCAAACCCCCGATAATGAGAGGGTCCGGGGCCAAGTCCAAGAGAGGATCGAATGGACCGAACGCTTGGTAAAGTCCATGGCGTGGAATATCCGGGCGAAGGGGCTGCTTCGATGTACTTCGCGGCAGCACGGTGGAGGACGTCGAGTGGCGGCATCGAGCATCCCTAGCCATCCCTAGCCATCGTCGTTTGCGTGGACGTCGATTGCTCGGCTGCGAGGTAGGGTTTGGCGTATTTCCGTCGACGTCGGCCCGATGCTAGTGCGTCGTCTGCCGACGTATGTTGGCCGGCGGACGCGGCCGCCACTGCTTCTCCCACTCCTTCAAGCACGCGACGAACCTGTCGGTGAGAAAGCTCCGTTGAGTAACCGGCGCGACGCGAGGATCGGTTTGGAGAAACGGAATGAACGTACCCGCTGTTCGGCTTGACGCACGCCCGGCGCGCTTTGCAGAACTCGAACGCTTGCTCATACGTCATCCCGTGTTTGCAGATGAGATACGCGATGACGATGGCCGACGAGCGCGATACGCCCTGTAACGCATCAGGAAAGGTCAGCATGGTGCTTGACGGGCGATCGACAATCAGAGTGTCTAAACGGAAAAGGCTCAGGGGATCGGTAGATCGGTACGGAGCACGAAGTGCACCCCTCCGAGTCAAGATCCATGCCGGATCGACAACAAAGGCAAGACACGATGCCACCACCAACCCCTTCGCATGCCCGCTCGGGGCCCCGAAGTGGGCCCGACGCATTGCCCCATCCAGCCACCACCTCCATCGATCACCCCAACCCCAACCCCACCCCTCGCACATCCCAATCAACATGAAACCTTCCTGGTTTTTCCCCACCGGGGCAAATGGCAAAGGCCACAAAAAAAAGAAAAAAAAGGAAAAAACGACCAAATAAACGGGACGACCCCGAAACCGTGACGCAGGAAGAAGAAGAGAAAAAGAAAACAGCAGCAGCAGCGAACCGCTCGAGGTCGTCGCCGGTATGTCGCGGGTCGCGCTCACCTGCTGACAATGCACGAGCACGTTCCGGCCCTCCGCGAGCGCGCGCTCGATGATCGCGCACGTCGTCTCGAGGTGGGGTTTGAGGTCGGCCGAGGGGATGTCGAGGATCGGCAGGCGGTGCGTCTGGATGTGCAGGACCTGGGGACGAAGGACGAAAGGGTTGCACACGCGCGTCGTCAGCGTCGGCGCATCATATTCCGCGAAAGAAACGTGGGGAAAAGAAAGAGAGAGGGAGAGAGATCCGGCACCGGCACGAGTGAACGGCGAGATATGCAAGTGGGCGCGGGCGGGTCGGACGTGTGCACGTCCACGAAAAAAGATCTCAACGGTAAACATAACTTGAAGCAAAGAAAAAAAGGGGGGGTAGGCGGAGTGGGACCAAGAGGGCACGAACCTTGGACGGCTCTTCTGGCAGCCACGGCACGTCGAGGACCTGGACGAGCAGGCCGATCCGGTGCGCTCGGAGGTTATCGAGGTCGGTGATAGCGGAGAGCGAGCCGAGGTAAAGCGCGCCGGGCGCGTTCGTCGTGATACCACCTACAAGGAAACACAGCCGCGTAATACGCGCTCGCTCGTCAGCGCGCGTTTCTCCCACATCCAAAACGAGCCCGAGCTCCGAGAGTACACAGGGGAGGGAGAAAGGAAAGGAAAAGAAAAAGAAAAAGAAAAACGTACCGGGACTGCGTGAGTTCGCGCCGCCGGGCGACGTCCCGTTCGACATCTGCCTGTTCGTGGTCATGCCGGGACCGGGTGTGGTGGGCGCCGTGGCCGTTCCGGGCATGCTCGAGCTCGAGGTCATGGCCAGGCTGGGCGCGTTCGGTCGGAGCTTCTTCATCCCCCCCGGAGAGCGGGTCGCCATCCCGGTGGACGACGTGGACGACGATACGCCCTGCGCCGGGGAGGCGGCGGGGTGGTGGTGAGGGTGAGGGTGAGGGTGGTGGTGGTGGTGAGAGCCTGGCGATGGTGTGGGATGGTGCGCATAGTGGTGGTGCGCGGAGGAGGAGGGGGCGGATTGGGCGGGCGGGAGGATGAGGTGCATAGGCTGACACATGGACTGCATCACGTCCGGGGGGAGGTTGTCGAAGCGGATCATGGCGTCGGCGGTGAGCTAAGCGAGATCGCGGGGGGTAGATGGTCGAGGGAATGGGGTCAATTCTTTTTATGTAGCCTGCGACGATGCGACGAGCGTCAAGTCGCGTTCCGTCGGGTGGATAAGAGGGGGCGGATGCTTACGGGATCGCGGGAGGCACGAGGACGACGTTCGAGGTCCCGGCGGCGAAGGAGGGTCCGTAAGTGCGTCGGACGAATATATGATGGGGCCCTGGCGTGCCTGGACGGCGGTGGCGGAGCGGCTTCGCGCGATCGGTGCGCTTTGTTCCCGTTTCTCTTTCCGTGTGCGAATATGAAGCGTTCGCGTGCGCCCCCTGCTTGAATATATGCTCTTTGGAAAGCTCGGTCGGGGGAAATGGCGTGCTTGTTCTTGCTTTGGGTGCGATTAAGGCACGTATAGGCGTCGGGTTTCAATCGGATATGATCAGATGAAGGGGGTGTGGGCGGTACCCGGGCAAATGACGCTCGCGGTGAGAGCGAGGGCGGGGGTGTAAAGGGAGTTGACGAGGAAGAGCGGCGAGCTCGAACGCTCGACGGTCGGGCGGGTTAATGAGAGGCGCTATTTTCCGACGCCCCGCAGCGACGCTCCACAGTCTGGACCTATGGACCCCCCTGGCCGAGTCGGGGAAGTCGGGTTCGCGTGAGGGATACTGAACGCCCGCGGACGGAGGAGGGGGATCTGCGCGATGACGTTCCGGGCGGTGTTCCCAGCCCCGCACCGGTTTTGGTCGCTCGATCGAGGCGGTGGGCGGCGATTTGGTGGCGGCGGTGGGCGGGTCGCGATGAGCACGCCGCACTGAAGAGAGAGCCGGAGGACGAGGGAGTGGTAGTAGAGGGAAGTGGGAAGTGGCAGACGGATAACGCGACTCGAGGCGGGACCACGTCCTGTCCGCGCGCGACAAGATATATACTCGAAGGCAAGGGGGCACTTGCCACCCCATCTCGGCCAAGCCGCCCCTCCGTCCGAGCACCTCCTTCGCCTTCTTTGCCCCTCCTTCTCCGTAGATCTGGAGCCCAGGACGGCGGACGCGGACCGAGATTTTTCTTTTTGCCTCCTCGTGTTTTCCTGTTGCACAGAGCAACATAATGGGCAAGCAAACTCGCGAGCGACAAACGCAAGAGTTTCCGCCCCAGGGTGGAGCAAGAGGGGGGGGCCCAGGCACACGGATAAAACAAAAAGCCGGAGCGCGCGATTGGTCGACGGAAGCACCCTCGCGAGCCACGTGTTGGCGCTTTTGCCGTGGGTTAGTTGAGCCCCAGCGTGGGGTTAGGGTTGGCGCGCTTTGCTCTCCCCGTCGTCATCTTCGCCCACCGGTCGGGCGAAGGCGTCGAAGGTCGCGGAGCCGGGGCGAGATGGGGTGAGATCTGGCGGCTCGTTCTGCGTATATAACCCCCCCTCCGAAATATTCCGCGATTTTCAATAAGGGCAGGCGGACGGTGCTTAACCAGGCCTTCTCTCGCGGTTTTTGCCTTTTCGATCCCCGCCCGCCCCGAAACTTCTTCTTTCCAAAGCCTTCGCGAAGCAAAAAGCGGTCTAATAACACGCCTTGACCCTGTTCGCGGCGGAAAGCCCCCTCCAGCTACTGACCCTTGAACGCAAACGTACACATCTTGCCATGGTCCGTGCTCACTTTGCCGGCAAACGCGTGCCCCGCGACTGTGTACTGATCAGCTCGCGATCCTCCCGGTGGCGGCCCTAACAGCAACACAGGTCCCTCTCGTACCCGTATATACGCCCTCACCACCTGATGCCTAATCGGAATCCGAACGAATCCTCGCCGTGAAAGCTTCCTCTGATCTTCCGCTGAGAAAAAAAAAAAAAACAGGCAGCGAATCGGCCAACCCAAATACGAGAAATATTCGGTACGATATCGAATCGGTAGCCTGAGTAAGTTATCATCTCTGCACGAGACGGGAAAAACCTTGTCAACAGTCGAACCCCGCCCTTTCACTCCACCCGCGACGCTTCTCTCTGGCCGATCACGGATCTACCCCTCTCACAGACTATGTATACCGAGTTCGGTGCTCTACTACTCGCCGTTCGCGCGCTGCTGCATCGTTTCCCGTGTTTCTACAGTCAACCCCAAGCGCAGCGCACGCCTTCGCTAGAACTTGCCACACTAGTACTGAATATAACCCAGTACCCCGCCATCGCACCCCATCGCACCTCGCAGCTCTCGCTCAATTCGTCGCCCTAAAACGAGATGCTCGTGCCGAACACCGGGGGATCGTCCCTGGACCCTGTGCCAGAAGCACTCGTATAAATTAACGTACATGTCCCACACATTCAATTCCCCCCTCCCCCCCTCCTCCCCCACCGGCATTTCATCTCGGGATATGCGTGCGGCATCGGATCTAAAGCCTGTCACATTACACGCCGGAGCGCGACAACGACCGCATACAGCATAGATCCCTTGATCTCTTACCAACGAACCCTCGAGTGGTTCAGAGTAACACGCGTTCGTCGTACGTACCACCTACACGACTCGCCTATGGCTGTGGCACAAGCGATCCCGCATACCGGTTCCATCGGTCCAGTACCTCAAGGCCTCATGCACGTGCTTCAGGACTCCATCCTTCTCCAGAGGAGCGGCGAACCGGGCAATCGGAAAGTTTCGGCGGGCGGACGAAGCTCCCCGGACTTCTCGGAACTTGAAGCTTGAAGCCTGAAGGGACGGTCGGGACGATAATCTTTATCCTCTATACAAACGCCACCTTCGACCCCCCCCCCCCCACGCCCCGCCTCCTTTTCTCATATCGTATCGTCCCTGGGACCTTTCATCGTCCGTCCACCCGGATCTAAACCATCTCAGCGATACCCACACTTCCTCGTCCCGTAATATCCGCGCGCGGTTCGCCAGCCAGTCTACTCAAGCTTACGCAAGCCTTATGTATACATGCATCTGCACAGCAAGAAGCTCGAAAGCGCCATCCTCTCTCACCGGCACACAACGCCCCCC